CAAATAAATAAAAAAATTATAGTTTTGGCATCCAAAATTACAATGCCATAATTAAAAACAAAAAAGTAGGATTTTATAACTAATAATTTCATTTGAAAAAAAGTAGGATGCTATAATTCATAATGCCATGTAAAGTATAATGCTATAATTAAAAAAGAAAATAAATTAAGATTATATAATTCACAATGTTATTTAAAGTACAATGTTGTAATTAAAAAAAATGGGACGCTATATATACCATCCTACGTCTTTTTAATTATAATATTGTACTTCAAATGAAATTTTGAATTATAGTATCCTACTTTTTTTTTCAATTATAACATTGTAATTTAAATTATATTATGAATTATAATTTATAATGTCATTTAATAATCAATGCTATAACAGAAAAAAGTTGGGTAATATAATTTACAATGTCATTTAGAATACAATGCTTTAATTAAAAAAAAGTAGGATGCTATATATAGCATCCTATTTTTTTTAATTAAAGCATTGTACTTTACACGACATTGTGAATTATAGCATCCAATTGATCCTTAAACAAAAGGGGTGACCAAGGAAAGACATAATATGCATGCTAGGAGCATAAACATAAGAGACAATGCAAATTTTGGTAGTTAGTTGATTATTTTGAAATATTTAGAAAAATAAAATTAATTTTGTAATTTTTATGGTGACTAAATATTGGAGATTTATTTATATTCAAGTCTGATACCATTTATAGTTAATTTGTTATTGTGTTTCATTTTTGCATGTTTAGATCCTCACTTCCCGAGTATTAATTTGGTCAAACTCGACGATCGATCATACTCTTGGGAGTAAGTATTGAATTAAGATTGTCGTGAAGTGTTAGCGTATTTTCTATAGCAATTAGACATTGCACGGAGATTGCGGCTAACATTCACAAGTTCTTAATAGAGATTTAAGTATTAGAGAAACCTACGCTCTGAGAGATTACTTCATAGATTCAATCATGAGTAATTATGAGACAATAATATATTCTATTCTTAAAACGGAGAGACATTTGAGTTCTTTGGATATGAGTTGGTTGTGTATTAGTCTTACTCTAACGTCATCTGTAACAGGTGGTCATAACTACTAAGTCTATGTATGATTAGATGGGTAGACAAAAGCTATGTAGTCGAAGTTTATTTGTTCGTTTTCACCTTAATGATAAAAACGTTATCATGGGTCCCTCGGTGATTTGACAATGACTTTAAAGTGCTAGGTCTCGCTTGGACTGAATTGATGTGTTCAATTAGTATTCTGATTTGATCATGATAAATGTTAGTTTCATTCATTACCCATGTCTCAATTCGACCAATCGTAGTTGATGTCTTGTCCAAGTCGGAGACGGTTGGAAATAGTTGTCCAATGTCATAACTAATTGGTATAACCTTAGGAATAATAACAAAGTGCCTTTTAGGTTGCTCTTAAGAGCTAAAATAGCTAGAAATATATTTTAGAGAGTGAGATAAATAGTTTATTAATTTATTACAGATTAATAAATTAATTAGAAACTAGTTATAATTACTTATAATTAATTTAGAATTAATTAGAATTAATTTAAAGGAGATGGGATGAATGTTACTTCTTCAATAGCTAAGCAAAATGAACATTACAGATGTCCATAAGAGTGGACGATTCTGAAGAAGTCTTCCAAAATCTTTCAGGTAGATGATAAAAATAAAGATTTGAGCCATGATTAAATCTGATTATTTAATTTATTCAAATAAGTTTTATCTCGAAATTACCACAACTCTATAAAGATCCCTCTAGGCCTTAGAAAAACTGATTTTACTCTCCTTAAGGTTATGACTTCCAGAATTCTCATCCTCTCTTCTCTCATTTTTAAAGTTTTAGGGTTTTAGTCTTTTGCAGTGAGCCACTAGAGGCGTTCTACTTTGGGTACTAGACTTTCAAAAGAGCAAAAAAGGAACTCAAATTCTCCAAGGAGTCAAGTGGCAATTTTTTTTTTTCAAAAGGTTAGTAAATCAATCACTCTCCTTAGTTTACATTTCTAGTTTTCATAGTACATTGTCATAATAGTAAAACTTGTTGCAGATAAGGGATAAGATCAGAAATTTAAACAACAATATATAACATCAGGGGTAATTCTGACCACACTTTTTTATCAATATATATTACCAATCATCAGACATACTTGGATTTACATGCACTTAGATGCAGGGAATACATGAACCATTGTGGCTTTTCATTCACACTGGTTCGGAACAGGCATGTTAATTGTCACTAACTTCCATTATCTGATACCATTTACTAGCTAACATTATCATAATAATTATAACAATATCTAAGTCTAGTTCATTATCTAACATAACCCCTTAAACTACTAGACCTGGTAATATTTTTCATAAGACTTCAACTTTTGAAGCCTTCAACCATCTATCCTTCATATCAATCCAATCTTCAGAAATTGTTGTGGAGAGCATTGGTAACAGCCCCAATCAATTTATCATTTGTAATCAAATCTCCCGAAACATCATCCTTAATGAGTTCACCCGTCTGAAAGGTCATGAACATTGTATTATTAGCCTTAGATTCATCCTCATTTATAAAATTTGCATCATCATTCTAATATTCTTGTTTGTTCTTGCAATGCTTTAATGTATGGCCACATTTGTTACAATAGTAACATTGAGTTTCAGAGAGGGCAGTGGTTGTGCTCTTCCTTTAGAAGTACCCTTACCATTATCATAGTAACTTTTCTTTAATTGAACCCGAGAGTGAACAACTTTATCCATTGGAGATATATCATCAAATTTTTTCATTCAATATTCATGGGACTGAAGTATCCCCAAGAGATAAAGCAAATAAATACTTTGATTCTTCCACTGCTACAACCACATATTCGAATTTACGTGCGAGACTCCTTAGTATCTTATTAACAACCCTCTTTTCTTTAATATCTTCCCCATTCAATCTTATTTGATTCATCATGGAAATCCCCCGGTTATAACACTCTTCTATGGTTTTTGATTCTTTCGTTTTCAACCCATCAAGCTCACACGACAAGGTTTGCAAATAAACCGCTTTGACCTTATCTTTTCCCTTATATGTGTTATACAATGCATCCTAGGCCTCCTTGGAAGAATTTAATCTTGGTATCCTTTCAAAAATAGGAACATCAATTGATTGGTAAATAAGAAATAACGTCTTCCCTTTTACTTCAAATTTTTTAATTCATTCGTTTGTTCTGTAGAGGGGTTCGGTGGTTCAAACATACATTCTTTTATCAAGTTCCATAGATCATGTGATTCATACAGATCCCTCATTTACATACTCCAATGGTGGTTATTTTTACCATAAAATCGTGGGAATTGGGTTTGAAAAAGATTATCCTTAGCCATTAATAAGGAGTGAAGTGGGGTTTCAATTAAAAGTTGTTGGCTTTGATACCACTTTGTTGGAGATAAGGATAACATCATGAATTTAAATAACAAGATATAACATGAGGGATAATTCTGAACACAAACTTTTATTAATATATATTATCAACAACCAGACATATTTAGTTTTAAATGCACTTATATACAGGGAATACATGAACCATCTTGACTTTTCATTCATACTGGTTCGGAAGAGGCATGTTAACTGCTACTAACTTCCAGTAACCGAGACAATTTACTGACTCACATAATCCTAATAATAAATAACAATATCTAAGTCTTGTTTACATACCTAGATCTTAGGTGCATGTACACTTAGGGTTTATATTGAATGCTTTTGTTGCCTAATTTTCGTATATAGATGCATAGAAAACCCATCATTCTTTTACTTAGTGAAACTCAGAAACACCAATTTCTTTTATTTTATTCTCGCTTCCATCTATTTCCCTTCTTTTACATCGTTAAGTTGAACTCAAGAACACGTTGTTAGAGAGATGAAAAGAGAGAGAGAGAGAGAGAGAGAGAGAGAGAGAATGGGGGGAGGAAGTGGTGATTTCTAGTGATAGTCAGCGACAGTGGGAAGTCAGCGACAACGGGAAGTGGTTTCTAGTTTCGGTGGTAGTGAGAAGTGAAGGGTTGAAAGTTCTTGAACAGAAATAGAGGAGAGAAAGGGTTATTGGTTACATTTATTTCAATAAAAGAACAAATAAAACAAGAATAAACCGGAATATTAAATGAAAATTTCAGGTTTGTAGAGACGAAACGTACACCTTTTTACGAAATAAGAGACGGACCGAGTTAATTTTTAAAAATAGGATTAAAAATGTCGTTTAGCACCTACACTAGAGATGAATCGTGTAATTTACTCTTAATTAAATGGAGAGAGAGAGAGAGAGAGAGAGAGAGAGAGAGAGAGAGAGAGAGAGAGAGAGAGAGAAAATAACATTGGATTTGATTAATTGTGGTGGTGACCAGACCGCAACCATCCACCACAATCATATGGGATGATTACATTGCCACATCAACCCGTTACCATACCTGAATGCCTTAATGCTGTAGCAAGACAAATTAATGAAGCCGGCACAAAAAATAGTGACAGAAATAGGTTAGGATTTGGTTTTAAGACTAATCATATGAAATTTGATTACATTATGCCATTCATTTAATTTCCAACCAAAATATGCATGATGTTTTAGTGTTTAAGAGAGCATATTGCTGTGAGTTTTTAGAATTTTGTTATGAGAGTTGAGAGTTCAATGAAGGTCTCTGTACACCAACAAGGTTCTCTAATTTTGCATTGTATATGGAACTATTTTCATTATATTTATCCCTTAATCTGTTTTCCTTTTTCCTTATTCATATGCAACTTTTCAGTGTTCTCATATTCTTGTTTAAAAATCTTCTCCAGAAGAAGTACTATAGAGGTGGTTCATTGGTCATCAATTGCTTTTCTGTTTGGTAACAACATACATTTTATACTTATGTAGTTATTTAGCTTTGGTGATGTCTTTTATCTCTAACCACCAACGAAGACTGTGGCTCAGCATAATACAATCTTGCTTATTTTATCGAAAATAGGTAATATACTTACCTTTGAAAAGCAGATTTGAACCATTTTGACACAGCTCTAATTAACAAAAGAATGATTCCAATACAATGCATAAATGTACGCAACCACATAATTGAGCACAAGAGTGGCAATTCAGTTGGGGGGTCCAGCATGAGCATTCAACAATGACTGCAGTGCTTTAACAACAATGCTCATGTTTGGTCTAAAATCAGCTTCATACTGCACACACAAAGCCGCTACTGCCGCCATCTTGGCAACTGCTTTTGGCGGGTATTCTCCATTCAGTCTAGCATCAACACACTGTTTCACGTTCTCTTCACTGAGTCTTGGTGTTGCCCAGCTGACTAGACTCTGTTGGCCACGTGGCAAAGTATGGTCAACAGGTTTTCGTCCAGTCAAGAGTTCCAGGAGAACAACTCCAAAGCTGTAAACGTCACTCTTCAAGTTTATCACTCCTGTCAAGGCATATTCAGGTGCATGATAACCAAAGGTACCAAGAACACGGGTAGAATGAAGACGTGCTGCCATGTCTGGGGTTTGTCGTGTTAAATCAATATCTCTAATCTTAGCCACATAGTCTTCAAAAAGAAGAACATTACTGGACTTCATATCTGCATGAATAATTGGAGGTTGTGTCTTCTCATGCAAGTATTCAAGCCCTTTTGCAGCCCCAACAGCAATTTTAACTCTTTGGGACCATGATAGAGCAGGACCTGGTCGTGCACCTATATAATCTTTTCGTCCATGAAGAATATCGTGTAGAGATCCAATTGAAGAGAACTCATAAGCAAGTACTCTCCAGTTACCATCTACACAATATCCAAGTAGCTCGACCACATTATCGTGTTTAAGCCTTGATACCATAGAAATCTGCGCTAAAAAGTCTTGGTCTGGTTGCTTTGTAGAGTTTACAAACTTTTTAATAGCTGCAACCTGCCCATTTCTAAGAACACCAAAGTATGTTGATCCGTAAGTTCCATCACCAATCATTGAGTCAATACCAAAGTTGTCAGCGATTTCCTTCAACTCGACCACCAGAAGAGAAGGGACAGAAATAGGCTGGATAGCAATAGCCTGTGTGTCCTTAGGTACGACCTCAGTGGTGCCATAACCTGCATTGTTTTGATATATATAGTTTACTACAGTGAAGCTATTATAGGTAAATAAATGTAAGTACGACAAATAAATGTATATCAACAAAAGACTTGTGCATGTGTTCTTCATCACAATAGTGCAAGAAACTCATGATCTCTTTCACCCAGAGGGAAAAAAGCAATGATTTTCTCATTCTTTTATGGCAAAAGGTTTTATTTTTAGTACACACTGCGGTAAGGTTATTTAATGAGCAGCGTTTCAAGTATTTGAAGTGTGTAATGTAAGTGTAATGAGTCTAAGTCACTACTTGTAATGTACACTGCAGGTGGCACAAACAACTATATGTAATCATTGTGAATCAAATAAACTCCAATTCCATTTGCATTAATGAAGCTAATTTTATTAGAAGCATCAATATTTAAAAAAAAGTAAGTATATACTAAAGTCTATCGATTAGTTTGGCTTTAGGATTCTTTTGAGCTGATTTGGTGTTGATACGACAAACTTTCAGGGTATTGATCAACACCATTTGAGCTAGTGGTGCACTATCAGATATAAGTAAATATAAGTGTGTTCCTACTATTATAAAAAGAGCTTAGGTGTGCTTCTTTTATAGTAATCTCCTTTTGGAATAGGGCAGCGGGTTCTGAAACACTTACATTTGGGGAACATCTTGAATAAATAATGTAAGTAGAGATGCATAAATATAAGTGTGTTGTTATTATTGGCAAGCCAGGCAGTGATTACACATACCTGGATCGGAGGGGTTTAAATTATTAGCAACGGAGTTTGACTGCATCTCATCAGACTACACCACAAACAAACCAAATGAGTTACACAATGGTAAATAAAATTAAATTGAAAATAGGAAAGTTGAATTTTGATCAGGTGACATCTTAAGACATTTATAAACTAGTGAATAGTAAAATGCACAAACCTTTTCCTTATTTCGTTTGTACCATTTATGACCTCTGCTTTGGCCGCTTTTCTCCTTGGTTGTGTTTCCTTCATCATGGCTACTTGACTGGTCTGGGTTTTGTGTCGAACCAGATGAATCAAGCCCAAACTGTACGACACAAAAACAAAAAAACTACATATAAGAAATCATTGAAGATATACATACAACACCCCTAAATGCATTAAAACAATGTAATACAGAAAATTATATACATATATATACCTTTGCTTGTATTCGTTTAAACCATGTAGCGGTATCAGCACTGCTTGGATTGCTATCTGGTTGCTTAGTGATGATAGATTCTGGAGCACCATGCTAATTTTAAAATTTCAAAAAAATAAATAGATATTAACATTTGCAAACTATGTTGAAATTCAGTTTCACATAATTACCTACATGTATAGCATTAGCAATTGATAGTGTCGTTCAACAATATCAGTTTTTTATATCTTCGTATTTTATTAATTAAATATCTATTAAAAGAAATTTTGATATTTTAATAGAAACAATGTTAATTAACATAACTAGTATTAACTAGATTATCATAATTTCAAAGTGACTAATATAAAGTGCAAAAATAATCATCCAATGAATTTACAAATAAATAAAAAATTATAGTTTGGGCATCCAAATTCTTAAAACTTTATCCAAAATTCAGTAATAAGATTGTCATACAATTCAGTCACTGATTATCCAATAATTTCATAGTGGATTATATGAAAATTATATAATCTTTTAGCTTAGATGAATAATCACAATCCAGCCCAAACTAAACACACGTGAGTATAAAGGAACATCATAACTTACTTGATATTTGAGCGCACTTTCAAGTATGCTCACAACGTCGGATATCAGTGGACGATCTTCCAAGTCTCTCTTCAAACACCGATAAGCTATTGTGACAAACATATCCAATGATTTGGGATTCATTCCATCTTTTATATTACCAAATATAAGATCACTTATTTTGTTTTGTGGGTAGTATTGTCGCACCAAACCTGTTAAAGACTGTTGAATGCCATTCTTTTTAGTGATACACAACCTCCCACACAACACTTCAAATAACACTACCCCAAAAGAATAAACATCTGATTCTTTTGTTAATAACCCTGTTTCGATGTATAGTGGATCACAATATCCAATAGTGCCTACGGCATTCGAGACAAGAAACGTGTACTGTTGATTGGCAGGACCAAATTTGGAGAGACCTAGATCTGAGATCTTAGCATTCCAGTTCTCATCAAGTAGGATGTTAGAACTCTTGATATCACGATGTAACACTCTTTGTTGGGTCTCACCTGGATTATGAAGGTATGCTAGTCCACGAGCCGCTCCTATGCAAATATTAAGTCGTCGAATCCAAGTTAGATCATCGTTATTGAGATATGAGTCAAGACTTCTCCTAGATGCGTATTCATACACAAGGATCTTCTCGTCGCCCTCGTCACAAAATCCTAAAAGAGAAACAATATTTTTATGCTTGTATAGAGAAAGCATGATGATCTCCTTCCAAAACTCGGGGTTTCCTTGTCCAAATTTTGGATCTAATCGCTTTAAAGCAACAACTGTTTGCCCTTTGGAATGAAGGAGATCTCCCTTGTATACTTTGCCAAACCCACCTCTACCAATGCAATTTTCATCAGCAAAGTTGTCAGTTGCTAATTTTATAGCTTCTAATTGTATCTTCAGGTGTTCAAACTTATTTATGAGATGCATCATTTTGATGATACAAATGTAACTGGAAACAAAGTTGAGAGCTTCAGGGATCGAATAGCTTGACGGCTTCAAGGAAAAGCTTGATGGTAGAAATAAAATGGATGGAAGCAACCCTTAGTCATTTTTATCGTTCTCTTTCTCACCGAAAAAGACAACTGCAAATAATTTGTTTTTTATTCATTTCGAATATTCAAAAGTACTATTTTTTCCTTTTTCAAAAATAATTATTTGAACTACTGGACTCAATAATTGTATAGGTGGGGTACAATATAATAATAATAAATAAATATAATATTATAAAGAAATATAGGGGTGGCGGAATAAACAATGCGGGTAATGGGCTTTACCAATCGTGTTACTTTTTGACGGATTAACCACAGGTTTATCAGCCACAGATCCGTTTCCCACGGATTATCCACAGGTTACTTCCCACGGATTTACTACCCACAGCCAATTTTTTCACAGATTTTACTGATGGGTCTCGTGGATAATAAAACATATTATTTTAAAAAAAATTATAAATTACATAAATCCCTATTTTTATGTAATTACCACAGATTTTATAATATAACAAAAACATAAAATACAGAAAAATATAATTTATAAACAATATTTATGATGCACACCTATAACGAAATGCACACACCTATAATTTTATAATTATTAAAAACTAGTTTAAAACTTGTATTGAATGATACACGGTTAGACAACTAAAAAAAGAATTAATACATAATAAATGACTTGCTATAAAAGAAAAAACAACAAAATTCAACTTATGAAAATGTTATAATATGAAGATTTTTTTAAAGTATAATTTTATTATAGAAAAAAATAAAAATATTATGCTATAATAGACAAATCAATAGAAGTACATTGTCATTTCTTGCCAATTATCATTTGCAGTGCAAATAAAATGACATGTACGCCATAGAAAAATGCCACTAAAAACTAAAAAAAAAAGTGACACTAAAGGCTCCTAGGAAATAGCGACACAAAAAAATGTTATTAAATGCCTTTAGTTATACTTTTTGGTTGTGTGGTTGCAATCGGTTTAAGTTTTAATGACACTTTTCTATCATGTCACTATAACATTTCTAAGTTTTAGTAGCACTATTTTTATATCACTATTTAATTACTAAAATAACTTTTATTTTAATGTTTTAGTCTTATTTTTAACACAAAATATATATACTAATAAATTAGATCCAATTTTTTAAAATTTTAAATGGAATATAAATCTACCATAATAAATGAAATTTTTTTTGTCACATGTCATCTTCTCCTTTATTTTGACACATGTCATTTTGTAGGAGTTTTAGAATTTGTATATTCCACTTGTCATTTTTTGGGGATTTCTATTTTCTTAAATTAAAATTCCATAAAATTCTAACGGATTTTATAAGGAAAGAGAGTTATTCTGTGTATTAATTTGATAATAAATTCTCATAAATGCTCCAAACGATTTGATTTTTTTATAAATGTTCCAAAAAATTATATTTTGTTATGTAAAAATTTTAATTTATAAAATATTTAATGTTTATATATTGATATTAAATTTTTAATTTTAATAAATCCGTGTAATACACGGGTTTCACAACTAGTAATAATAATAAAACAATTAAGATAATAAATGCATAACACAATATCATTACTTTAATTCAAACTTTTTCTACCAACAATATTCTTAATTTTAAAATACAAACGTCTTCGACAAAAAGTTTAATAAGTCTACATATTATGCTAATACTCAAATTAAGAAAGCGCACATCTCAAAAGATGCATGGGGATCAATATTTGCAAAACTTTCATTCCCAACTAGATTCCGCCTAATAACAAGGTATGACATAGTCCCAGCTTCAACTTCAATCACCCCTTCACCAACACTCTCCACAATCCTGTAATTTTTATATTTGAGTAATATGAATTTTAGTATTTTAAATTAAAAGAGAGCACAAACTTATAGGTAGTCGAATGAACATGCATTACCATAAGTGTTGTGATCAAGAATACATGGGAAAAGACTCTTGGATCCTTCAACAAGCATAACTGTCATTGCATAATCTATAAATTAGGTCAATAATGATGATATACCTTGTAAGCCCGAGTTTAAGAATCGGTATTGCACCGACATAAAAATCTACCACAACGGTTGATTGTAAAGGGACCATGTTAATTCCTCAAAGCCATATCAAATCTATTTAACCAAAACAAGAATATTTTTTTATGAAGGGAATAATTGCAAAAAAAAAATCTAATGCACAAAAATGTCAAATCAAATAAAAAAGAGAAATATTAAATTTAAAAAAAAAAATACTAGTGGCAAAATCACTCATTCTTCAACTTATGTTCGTTCATTTGTATTTCATCTACAACTATTGAAAAGGTCTAATTGCAAAATGTACATGTAACAATTAAATTCTACTTATGGCAATATTAATACATAAAATCACAATCTATTAATGCTAAAAGGAAAAATAAAACTCGAAACAGTATAAGGAATTTTGATATTTGTAAACTAATATAACACTACCGGATCATCAAAAAGGTAGTTTTCTTTCCTATTTCCTTCAAATTTGTTCTAGGGTTTTGTGAATTATGTATATGAATTCCTTAGTTTAATCGAAGGCAATGAACCACTTGGGGATCCTTCCTTGTAATCAGTTCAGATTTTTTAACCCTTGTTGTAAGTCATTGGAGTCATTGGGTGTGTTTTTAAGGATCTTTTGAAAGTAGGATGGCTAAATGAGTAACACAAACTAGATTATGCTTTCTGCTCTAGAATTCATCGTGCGTCTTATGAGGGATCGTGACACACTTTCTACCATGTCCCACTTTTAGCTTTGTGTTGTGTTTGTGTCTCGTGTATGGTTTAATCCTTCTCTTCCCTTTTTCTCCCTTTTTCTCCAATGATCCACATTAGGTCATTTTTGTTTAATTTTGAGCTTAGAATGTCAAGTGACCCATTGAAGTGTATTATTGTCTTTTGACACCTTGTAATGATATTAGATGATTGATTTAAGAAGTTTGGAGTATGAAGTGACATACATCAAGTTAGATGATCTTTTGTGTGACCATCTCCATTTTTTACAGTCAGAAAATACATTTTTATTTATGATTGTTTTAAAACATAGTATTCGTAATATTGCAGAATTGGTCCCATAAAAAGTATTTATGAAAAAATATTTTCATTGATTATTAAAAAATTTTGATGTCATAACTGATACAAGAAACATAAGCATAAATGTAATCATTACAGGCCTTCAAAATCTTTTATAACATGACTTATATTTCCTTGAATCTGTCATCGGATCCAAACATCATTATATTTATACTGCTTGGGAAACCTGCTGAGTACATAGAGTTGGGAAACCTGCTGAATACATAGAGTTTTTAACCCACAATAATATAATTAATTTATTTAATTATCTATTTCATATCAAACAATTAACATGATTTCCTGTACTCGTTCTCTTCTATATTCATCTCTAAGGACCTATCTAAGGATAATCATAATCATCGTTGTTGAAAGTATTGTTTCAGGGATTTCTCCGCAATACATGTCAGTAGGTTTTCTTATATATTCATCTCTAAGGACATATCCTAAGGATCATCATAATCATCATTGCTGACAGTACTATTTTGAGGAATTTTCTCTGCAATACATGTCAAGAGGAAGTAGAGTACATCCTATTAACACGTAGTTCATCACTTGCAGCTTGTGAACTTGCATGTGTTCCACTATACTGCCTACAAGAGTCCTTGCTCATCATCTATACTATGTCAGATGGCTACATCGTTTAGTACAATAGTACTAGTAAGTCAAGGCATATTATCATCATTTTCTTCTCTCATCATCCATCACCTTCATTATTTATTTATCCCTCATCGCCCATCGTTGCCTAATATACTATAGGTATGAAAATACATATACGGTAAATCATATAAGCATCATCTTATATTATTTTATCTAACACATAACATCTCAATCATAGATAATAAGAACATATAGCGTTTAATTATCTAAATACTTCATATCTATGTGTAAGATGAAAGTAACCATGCACTCACTTGTTAAAGTGGATGACTCATGAATTCGGTAGTGCTTCGCCTAACACCTTGAATTTTCCTTTGATATGACATATGTTTAATTATCACTAAGTCTTAGTCTAATATTCCTCCTGACAAATGATAGTATAGATTCCTCAATAGTCCCAATGTCTACATCATGATCTATCAAGCAAGGAGCAACTAGGTAAGACCATATTGAATGTAGGGTCCGTTTGGTATATAGAGTATACTATTTGGAAATCCCACTTTAAACACCTAACTAAATCCAGCCTAGACATCACCCCTGTAAGTAGATCGATCAATATTTTGACATGGAATCACTGATAAATCTTTTTTATAGGTTCATAATAACGATAATGAACCTAAACGTAAGTTACCTTTAAAGCATAACAAGTGTAGCTTAACTTATAGAGATTTCTAACGAAAACCGGGAAAGTCATGGGCAAAATTTAGACCCGAAAGCTTCTTATTTGCCAGGCTCTCTAGTGCTCCATACCCTAGCTAACTATTTCTAAAATCTAAAGAAATTTCTGACCATAAAACATAAGAGAGATTTAGAGAGGTTTGGGTGGATTGTGTGGAGAATGAACTGATTTCATCTCCTATATATAGCGAAAAAATTAAGGTGTGTTGCGCCTCAAATCTGTGCGCGCCGCGCACACCTATGACTTCATTCCTCTAGTTCGTTGCCACGTGTCAGGTCTATATTCGTCCGTAATGCATGCTTCTAGAACCCTTACATGCCGCGCTTAGCGCTCATATGCGCGCATTTTTCTTGTTTTTCAAAAAATCATATCTTCTTAATACGACCTTTATTTTCGACATTCTTTATATCAACGCATAGCTATCAAACAAGTACTACAACTTTTATTTAGACTTCGTCTGCTAATTATCAATCTATTTTTAAAGTTATATTTTTAACAGGCATAGACTATTAAAGTCCATATAGAAATCATAACTTTTTCGTATGACATCCATTATCGACTGTCTTTATATTGATGGAATCATATCAACAAGATCTTCGACTCACGTTTAGATTGTTTTTCCTAACAAATGACCGATTTG